TAAAAGTAAGTAACTGAGGGACAGGGATCACCCAGTAGAGCGAGCCTTTCTCGCCGGTTCTTTCTTTACAGCGAAGCTTCATCAGCCCCTTGTCGCAAATCGTCCTTTCCTTTGCATAGGCCCTAAGGCGACGGCGATGCAAGAAATGGATTACAGCATGTGTACGTACCCTGCTTGGGAAAATTGAAACGAAGAATGTGTCGAACCTCCCGCCTACACTCATCGGCCCCTCCAACATGCAGGCTGCGCCTCTTCGGAGAAGGCTTGAACAAACAGCACAGCGTCCGCGTGATCGCACCTGGAGTGCCGAGAGAAACCGAAGGCTCCAAGGCTTCGTTGAATTCGTCTGCTGACTAAAGTCCCGCCAACAGCTCCCTAGAGCTTCTCACACTGGGTAATGATGGCACGCTCAGTGCTGTGCTGCGGCTTGGGATTATGTTGCCAGTCGATGGTTCGCTAGTTGCATGACCATTTCCGCGACCCGGGACGGCTACCAGACCCACAACCCTCGACACCCGAGACTGTCAACGGATACCTACTCTCAGGGGCCATTGTGAAATTGCTGGACGCCTTATCCCAGCCAAAGCCAGAAGTATCACTGAAGCTCTTGCCTGCTGAACGTGAGGGTGTCAGGAGGTTGCCGTGCCCACCCGAGCAGAAGCATCACCACTCTGTCCTGACTACGTCTGCCAGAGCTCTGAACCTGAAGAAGCTACAATGACCCTCTGCATGTCGAGGGCCGAGGGCACAGTCTGTCTCTCCACGGCTTCCATTCGTGCTTCTTCTTGCTCTTGTGCTTAACCTTGGCAATTACTTTTCACATGGCCTTCGGCATGTCAGGTGTGATATCTTCGAGTGTCAGACCGTACTAGCAAACTCATGCTCTTCACCGGCACTCTGGCACGGGAGCTTTTGGGACCTAACCCTCCGACTCGCTCCTTCACATCGGCGATTCATGTCCTGTGTGGATGCAATACGCTTCTGTACTTTAGAGGGGCTTGCAAGTATAATTCAAGCACAAATGAGGAGCCTTCAACAGCCGGTCAACTCGCGTACTCGAACTCCCAAACCGAAGCACTCGTAAACGGCACGATTGCTAAAGATGCGCACACCGGGCCTTCTTGGCATTGCGGGCATCGAACAGGACCTGGCTGCTGCCCGCGCGGCAGGGTATGCCGACCCGCACACCCTGGAAGCACAAGTCTAGAACTCGACATCCTGCCCTTCCCAGTATTAGCGTTAATACCGAGACCAGTGTCATGATCAGCATAAGCATGAGTACGAAAACGAATACAGAACTAGTGTTCGTTTTCGTGTTGTCGTGATAGTATTCTGATTAGTAAATAATGGTGGCGGTAGTGTAGTTAGTGGTGGCTGTTGGTGGGTGCCGGGGGACTGGTAGTGGCGATCACCTTGAACCACAACCCGAAACACAAACCTCTCACACTAGTACTAGCACTAAAGTAGCAAAAGAAACAGCAACAGCACTAGTAGGAGCATCATCAGCAGCAGCAGTCGTCGTCGTCGTCATCGTCGCAGTCGCGGTGCATTTCAGACGCTGGAATATTGGTTCTTGCGAGAATGAAAAAAATCCTGACAAAAATCACCGGGCAGCGCGACCCGACCAGTATGCGGGTGGAACTTGCTGCGTTTCTCTAGAACCTTAGGGCCTAAGGCCCCTACAGCTACACCTCTCGTTTATTGACTAGTGATCCGCGACTAGTGAATCCTCAAACCTTAAATGAGACCTTGAGTTGGAAGGTTCGCAACACGAAACAAGAACTCACCCCTGAACATCCAAGGACGTCGAGGCACGTCGTGACCCGGCTCGGGACGCTGGTCTTCAGCATCCTCTTGGAAGCTTGACATGTATAGGCTAGTCGAGTAATCCTGGCGCATGTTCTTGGGCCACGCGTCTTCGAATTTCAGAAAAGCCTTTTGCGCTGTCATCCTGAAGCCACACTGCCCTCGTCTGCATATCCCTACTTTGGGTGCGAACCAGGCAAGGAGAGCAAGTCCTGGCCGAACTCCATGGCGCCGCTTTGGTTTCAAATTGCTGGCAGCACTCAAGCCGAAAGGGCATCCAAGCATGGAGAACCAAAGCGCTGAACCCAGTGGCTCCTGAAATCCCGGGCACGAAGCGCTCCCTGAATTCCTTCTGGCACCCTAAACCCGTTCAAGTACACATTCCACATCAGCCAGCAGCAGCGGGACAGACTGCTTCCCGAAGCTCGGGCAGAAGGTAGTCCGCTTGTATAGACACAGGACTAGTCTTGAGCAGGACGACCTTGTGAATCACTCACTCTGAAGCCCCAAGCCTAATGTTACTGAATTTCTTCCAAGACAGAGGTGGAAAGTGTGATGCCGAAATACTGCTCCCGCGCTCCAGTAAAGGTCTTGATCATAGTCATGGTTCGGCCCCGGTTCCAGGCTGCACACCTATCATTGTCAAGCGACGAATGAAAAGACATGAAGGCTCTTTGTGCCAGAAGCCATGGGCTTTGACATCAGGTTTGCTTCAGAGCTGGAAGGCATGCAGTGTTTCGAAATTGAATCATCCAGGCTACCGTTGAAAGCCTTGGGCCTCGTTTCTTAGCATGGGAGCAGTGAAGTATCGGAAAATTCGCACGTGCAGCGGCTGTCGAACACGAACTTTAAACCAAACCCTACATCCCAAACACAGCTGCTAGCCTTGCAGCGCTGCTAGCCTTGCAGAGCTTTGGATCACAAAAATGACATTTTCCGAACCACCAGCCCGACTTAAACCCTCCAGCCCCAAAGCCTTCCCAGAACCTTCAGCCGGATTCTGAATCTAGCGGACTTTTGGCACAGTAGCACTGTGGCAGGCAGAGAATTGAAGGGGAACTACAGGTGAAGAGGGCGACTTTCCGGGCTTGCGGACACATGTGTACGTAAAAATATCTGTGTCGACACATCCGTCAAGAACGGCGTGCGAACATCAATCCCGATACGTAAGCACACCGTCACCATGAGAATAAGGTTGGGGGCATCTTGTACCATATCGCAAATTTGCACGGACTAAATGGGGCCATTGTCACTAATCACTCCCTGTATTATGTCTAGACATGCATAGGCCTGTGTATACATTCCACATGGCAATGTAGCAACAACTAACTAGCCTGAGTCTTTGATCATTTGCTACACTCAAACGTGCGAACTAACCATTGACTGACCGTTTCCGCTTGTTGTGAGCTCATTCTGCTCTTGAACTCGGCATGTGTTTAACCAGACGTTCACACAAACTTTCACATTTTGCATCTCGAGTGCAGGCATGCGAGCATGTCATCGGTGAAGCAGATCTCGGAGAGTATTGGTAGACAACAAAAGCTTTCACCGGTACAGCATAGATCCCTGCTACACGTTCTTTTTCGAAATGTTTTCGCTTCGGTGGCGTGTTCTGCGCTTCTGATTCTTTTCGGAGTCTGACCGGGTTCATCGAAAGTTTCAATCGTATTTCATACAGAAATGTTCTTTCGATGTTAGGAGGACCGACCGTTTCTTGGTCGGATCTCGCAGAATTAAAACAGAGGAAAGTGAACGCTTAAATCCGTTTAAAAATGGTGAAACAGGGTGGGAGAAGAAAAGTTTCAATTCGAAGCTTATACCAAAATGGCAACGGAATGCAACAAGGTCGAAGTGATCGACTCAAGTACATCCACGGCGTCGATCGGTGAGTGATCAAAGCAATGGGTTGTCATTTCGCACCCAGGTGTGGTACACGACAACCGGTAGCATTGGCATAGATCCCTGCTACACGTTCTTTTTCCAAATGGTTTCGCTTCAGTGGCGTGTTCTGCGCTTCTGATTCTTTTCGGAGTCTGACCGGGTTCATCGAAAGTTTCAACCGTATTTCATACAGAAATGTTCTTTCGATGTTAGGAGGACCGACCGTTTCTTGGTCGGATCTCGCAGAATTAAAGCAGAGGAAAGTGGACGCTTAAATCCATTTAAAAATGGTGAAACAGGGTGGGAGAAGAAAAGTTTCAATTCGAAGCTTATACCAAAATGGCAACGGAATGCAACAAGGTCGAAGTGATCGACTCAAGTACATCCACGGCGTCGATCGGTGAGTGATCAAAGCAATGGGTTGTCATTTCGCACCCAGGTGTGGTACACGACAACAGGAGCTTTCACCGGTAGCATAGATCCCTGCTATGCGCTCCTTTTTCCAAATGTTTTCGCTTCGGCGGCGGGCTTCTGACTCCCTTCGGAGTCTGCTCGGGTTTCATGGAAAGTTTCAACCGTATTTGATACAGAAATGTTCTTTCGATGTTAACTTAGGAGGACCGAACGTTTCCCATCGGTGGTGGCCGCGTCCTCCCATCGCAGGCGAACGCCACCAGACCTTACCGGTCTCCCCCTCGCAGGGCTCGATGCGTCTTATCGCTGCCCGGTACATCCGAGAAGCCAGTATTGCAGTATTGGCTGCCAAATTTTTGTCCCCTATAACTTTCGTAGCCCTACTCGTGATGGTCGAGAGATGTAATTCCATTCTCATCCACTGTCGAGCCTGGGCGATATCTTCGAATCGACTGAGTGCATCGGAAACGTTTGCGTTGGTGGGTACTCGTCCGAGTCGGTGCGCAAGTCCGTGGCGATTGTGCCAAGTCCTATGTGCCGCGACAAGACAATTGAGTGGTTGAAGTTTGCCCACCCCTTTCATGAGCGCATGTCTGGATGCCTCATTCTCGCAGCACTGAATGCAGCAACCGTCCAACCAATGTTCGAAGATCATCGGGGCTAAGATCGCGGCCCAGGCCTCTAACAGGTAGATGAATGCCTGGTCGGAGGAAAACTGTCACACTGGCACCGATGGCAAACGACCCTGCACATCACCTTGGTCGAAGCAAAGGGCGGCCCATGCGTTCTCAGTGTTGTTAGTCTCGGTGGAATTCCTATCAAGCAAATCTTCATCGCCTGGGCGGTAGATTTGTTGTCCCAGGTTGAAATATGCGTCGGTGTAGATGACGCTGTAGATCTTAGCAACCGGATTCCGTGGTATCGCCGTCCGTCGACAGTGTTGGATGATGGCTCGTACTGCGAGTAATGAGGATCGTGTAGGTTTGTCGTTGGCGAACAATCTGCCTGTCAGGAAGTTGCACTTGCCGGCCATCTTCCTGGCTTCATCGGGTGACATGTCGTTGGCATCGAGGTAACTGTCCATCTGTTGGCACAGCGTCTTGACTCGTTGGAGGATATGAGGACTCCTTGAATCCGTTGTTGAGTCTCAGGAGGTTGTCTTTTACTCGGCTTCATGGAGATCTCGAGGCAACCGCTGTAATCCTCGAAAGCGCGAAAGCTGCTATCATAGGCGAACGGGACTGGGTCGCCACGAAGTACCTGTTGGAGTCTAACCGCAGATCTCATCGCTGCATCGAGGGTAAAACCGTATCGATTCCAGCAACTCGTCAGATAACTGCAAATCCCTTGGAACCACTTATGACAGATCAGGTCGGGACAACCCATGTGAGAAATAGGAGGTCGGGGTGCAGATAACGGCAGTTGGTCCGAATGTTGCAATTCTTGGACTCGAGGAATAGGCCACACCTGCCATCGAGTGTCCTTCAAATAGATGACGTTGGTAGATCTAACCTCCTCGGGGAACTGCTCTAGCATACTCGGCGGGACGGAGGCATTCGCGGAGAAAGCCTTAAAACGATCTTCACAGAAGAACTCAAACCAGGAGTTGCTCCGCCGGGATGCCATGGTTCCGCAGTACATCGAGGAGGGAGAAAACCGAAGAAGAAATGTTTCAATTCGAAGCTTGTACCAAACTGACAACGGAATGCAGCAAGTTCGAAATGATCGACTCAAGTAGATCCACGTATTCGATCGGTGAATAATTCAAGTGCCGGGTTGTCATTTCGCACACAAGTGGGCTACGCTACAGCTGACGGATGGTCGAAAGCGCATGTCACAGTATGAGGTTTTGATGACTCAAGGCTGAGATGACACAACCGTTTCTAAGGAACGTGCTTCAGGGTCAAGGTCAGGTTTAGGGGCTTGTCGGGTGGGGCGGCTTGTAACCCTCCAGCAGACTTTGTTCCTTTCTGGTCTGGAAACCTTCTTCGGACTCTCTCTGTCGGTTGGGGCGGGTGGATGGGAGGAGTGCAGTTGCAGCCGGATGTCCTTTTGCAGCTTGCAGATGCCTTCTATATTCATGTGCAGACACATGTTGTCTGTTTGCATTTCTGATACATGCGTCGGAAATGATCACGCGACCAACATATACTGTGCCCGCAACGCCGCAGTGAGCCTAAGTCAGCTCAGCTCCTCACCTGTGATTGCCTCCGGCAGGGAACCATCCCAACCGCTGCCAGCAACTTGAAGCCCTAAGAATACCAGGACAGCGACCTCGAAACACTGACCCCGAAGCATTGAAATTCAATGCTGGAAGGGCGGCATGTGTCGCACAGATACGCAGAAGCCCAGGCAGGCTCAGCCGCAAATCTGCATGAACTAAAAAACAAGCAAGCGGCCAGAGGAGGAAGTTAGTTCACAAGTTGTAAATTCATCCGATTCAACTACGACAACTACGATCTTGTCAAGAATTACACTACGTGGCACGCTTGCACGCCCACACACAGACTCGCACGTACACACACACACACACAGCAGGAGACAGAGACAGAGGCAGACACGCAGACAGACACAGACACAGAGAGAGAGAGAGAGGGAGACACACACACACACACAACAACACAAACACACACACACACACACACAAAAAAAAAAAACAACACACACACACACACACACGCACAGAGAGACACAGACAGAGGTGCACGCAGGTCTACGAAAGGCGGTGATGGGAACAAGCAGGTGGCCGCACGTCCGTAGGCTAGTAGTTTATGAGCTAGGACTACTGCAGGACTTGTGGAACAGGCGCTGCCAAGCCACACCTCCTCCAGCCTGTGAGTATTTGGCTGCTGTGTCCGGGCTTTCGTAGCTGCCATCAGCGCCAAGCTTCGGGCGCAAGGCTTTCCCTCCAAATCTGAGGGTAATTAGAGGGAAGCTCCTCGGACAAAGTCCCAAGAAACAACTTATAACGAATGACTTAATGGTATATGGTGAACATCGTCTTTACAGGTCAAAAGGACTCTAGGAGCCTTCGCCTTGATGGCTAGCGGCTAGACCCTCAAGGGAGACAGCAAGGACTCCGATCGCCACGCTTGGATGAGGAAGGTGCGCCCTCCCACACCTCAGTTCGATCAAAGATCTCGGCTATGCCTTCCTCGAACGAAGAGGTTCCGCTCTTTTACTCGAACATGGATTCTTCTTAGCTTTGTGAGATAGATATCCTATTTACCACTGTCGCAACTGGAGACACAGGTCTCAGCCCCAACCGACTTAGCACCAAGAACCTCGTCTGGCATCTCCCGGTGTCAAGCTTCCGAAGAAACACCGCGGCGAGGTTCAAGACTTTAGGGCTATAGGGAGGTGTTTAGGCTTTGGTGGCTGTATAGAGCTCGGCGGCCAAGATGCTTGCAAACTCGTGCCGCTCACCTTTCGAAGTCACCTCAGCTGCCAAAGCGTGCCAGTGCCGGGTCGAGTTCGCACATTCTTCGCCACGTCTGCCCGCTTATGTTCTGTTTCTGTGGGTTTGATGGCAGCCCACCGCGACGGCTCGGGCCCAGTTGCAAGAGCTGGCTCCGGCCGCCGAAAGAAGCGGAAGGGTGCCGATCGGACTGTCCCGACAGCAGAGTCGGGCGCTGCCTGGCGTGCGTGAGTTTCATTGGAGCTGCAGTGTCTCGCGCACGGGTAAATAGCAAGTTTCTTCAGGTTGAGAAGCCGAAACGTTCTAGATTATCGTCCTGGACAAAGGAGGAGACGTCTACGGCACTGTCTTGAATGCAGGCTCTGAGTGCTCGAAACACCTAGCATCTAAGTAGACTCCCGAAGCCTGAAGCTTCCCAGAACATCCATGAACTGTGAGAGCCTCAAAACACCCGGATTAGCGTCTTGCTGTGTTCAGGGGACTAGCACCAGCAACATGGATCTTCTTTGCAGCATGGGCCAATACATGTTTCCGTCATTGCTACCAAGTTCACGCTGAAGCTGAGGCACTCGGTTTGGGGCTGAGGTCGAGGGGAATCGACTGTGGAAGGCAAACCTCGTGCATGACGCCCGAGTAGCAGAAAATGGTCGGCTTATCCCACAACAGACTCAGGAGTTAAAGAGCCCCGAAGAAGGGACGACTGAGACACTGGAGTCGAAAGTCAAATCTTGCAGTACATTTTACAGGAAAGGAGACTTGCGAGATGCCAATGTGGCAGAAGTGAGCGACAGCAACTAGAGCTGTTTCAGTGGCACATGGCCCCAGCTGAAGATGCGAAGGACGGCAGGTGTTTCTGCGGATTCCCCCCAGGCCAAACTAAGCTGGTCTTTTGGGTTGGGCCGTCCAACAGAGACTTACAAGGCCTTTTGTCGAGAATTCGAGGAAGTCTACAGACACAGGAGCCCTCAAAGTGCAGGGCTGTAGCTTCGGGGTTCAAGCTTCAAGGCTGGAGTGCCGGATTTGGGCTGAAGAGTACGGTTCAAAGCTGTCGCTTCCGCGCCATGCAACCAACGACAGTACAATCTCACGAATCGCTTTGGTGGAGGTGGCGCCTGGCTTCGGGCAGCTTCCCAGGCTGCCTGCAGAAAGGGATGTTGAGGATGCAAGCTCCAAATTGCGTGGAGCCTTGCAATTCGAGAATGGAAGCGGTTGTGCTTCGGATTTTGTTTCGAAGGCGATCGAAAGCGTGTTGAGGCCTTAGACCCTTGAGGCCCTCGACCAGCGGCAGGCTCTGAACCTGCAGAGTCCGCAAATGCCTCGAAAGGTTTTGGCTTCGTGAAAGTCAGGTTGGGCCCTCAGAGGCCACGAGTTCGGGGGGGTCTCGGATGTGCTCGGTGCCTCTTGAGTTCAATTAGCCCTTGCGTTGGCAAGGCTGGGGCCAATCCGAAGCCACAGTCTCCACCCAAGTGCGAAAACCTCTCCGACTCCAAGAACTGATGAGGCCTCTGCGGCCTCCTTGCAAGATGAACTCACCTGGAGCACGAAAGGCTTGTAGGCCTAGATAGGGGCCTCATAGGTTTGCGCCTTACTGTAGGGCCTTTCGAATTTCATGACTGAGGCTGAGTGAGAGTTCTGGGCCCCCTGGGTAAATGCGGTTTACCTGAGTGTAGGGCCAGTGTAGGGCCTTGTGATGTGTAGGGCTGAACAATGAGAACAACCAGTGGGAAGTAGTTGCGAAAGCTGACAAATGTGCGCATGCAAGAGCCATGATGCAAGATATTTGTTCAAGAACCCAAGAAATTGCAATAGATTCTGCCACCCTTTACCTCAACATCCAATATTCCAATCCGCCTGCAAAACTGGACATGCAAGCTGCGGAAACCTGCGGCAACCCCTCATGGTGGCAAGGAACGACGAAAAAGAATCCAACCCTGTGTTTGCCATTGAAGTCGCAATTGGCTCTCTAAGCCCTGGCGAAATTCTTCCCGGGGCGGATCGGGGAAGGAATAGAACGGGCCGATTGCAGATCCTTGGGGCTAGGTTCGGGAAGGCCGTGCCTGAACACGGTTTGGAGGTGCCGTGGCCTGGGGCGGCAGCATCTTGAACTGCTACCAGTACTGCTGTTGCTTAGGGACTTGCGGACTTGCGGTTCAGGGGAGTTCAGGGTTCCGAAGCTTTCAGGCTCCAAGGATCTTGCGTTTTCGCTTCAATTCTGACTTCGCAAAGGCTGCCATTGCAACCTGAGGGTGCATGTTTGCCTGCGGGCCGAGCATCAGGCTTGGCTTTGAGGTCAAGCTTGTTGACGAGCCTACGTTTACGTGGGCTTCTGCTTCTGATGGTTCGCTTCCTATCACTCCTCTCGAGGCATGGTAGGACTGAAGTGATGTCTGCGGCAGTTGACACCGACTGTAGACAAGTACCAGGTCCTGAGCACAAAGACATGTTTGGGGCGAAATCTCCTCCGTGGTGGCGGATGGAGGAGGACGTTTCGATCGTACCATGATGTGCAAGGCAATCTGGCCTAAACAACAAAACTAAAAGCAAAAGCAACAGACATGAGAGCTTGGCTTCGATCTTGTGTGCCTATTCCAATTCAATCGCTGCTAGCTATGCGCTGCTGGCATATTCGAGGTGGGGGCTTAGCGGCAGTACGGCTGGCCTCCAAAAGCTCCAGCTGATGTATCAGCGTGCCGAAGAGGTGATAGCGCTGCCTGTCCGTGCCAACGATGCCGCCTGGCCGTCCGACGTGCTCAAGTGACAAGTTTCCGATTCTGTGATCTGTCGACTTCTACCATCAACAAGCTCTGAACCCAATCCTCGTAACAGTACGCATTCCAGCACCAATCCGTTCTCGAATGAGCCTTGTCTCATTAGCTTTCCTGTTGCAGCCTTGATCTCCTATCGGGACAGAATGTGACCGGTGCATCACATAAACAGATCTACGATCCAAGCTCAAGCACCTGGCGACATGATGTGCTTGGACCACCGTGTTCGTCACACCGAACAGTTGAACAGTGATAACAAACCTAAAACCGATTTCTACCGCCACGGGCAAGCTAACCCTTCAACTGCGCAAAACGTGGCTAAGCCGGCTAAGCATTGCTTACTGTGGCCTGATTGCTCATGAAAACAAATTTGTTCCTCCTACTTGCTTAGCATAGCGGTAGGAAATCCCGAAACTGAGACTGAGATGCTTCAATCAAACCGGAAGGCCCTAAGACTTAGCACCTTCCCCAAGCTCGAAGGGCAGACCTCGGCACTCACCGTAATGAACACCGACCTTGCACTGAGTTCTGCCATGATGGCAGAAAAAGGTGAGGGTGCACAATGTAGTGAGGACACCCCTTGCTCAAGCAACACCTGTGGCGGAACATCACTCTGCACGCTGAATTCTCGCTGCCCCTCTCTGTCTCGCTAATTGTCTTGCTCTTCTTCTCTTGTTTTGGTTGTTCCTCTGGCTTGTTTGCTGAAAGCCTAAAGTGCCGGCATCCCCCTGGGCCTTGGCCCCACCTTGCCAACCTTCACGTCTTGTCAACCCTCCGACAGAAGCCTGGCAGCTCTAGCCCTTGAGCCTGGGGGCCTGGTCCCCCAGTCCCCGGCAGAGGGACCTACAAGTTGGCTGCAAACTTCTTACGAACAGATTTTTCTAAGGTCAAGGACGGGCAGATGCACCTAGCTAGGAAACCCGTACATCATAACATCGCACGGCATATCAGAGAAGTGCCGAACGGACCATAGCACAGCATAGCAGAAGAGAGCCGAACAGAACACAGTACAACACACAGCAAAACAGAACATAACAATACAATACACAACCCAACAGATACAGTACAGCAGCCTAGCACAGCACATATCACAGCACAACAAAACACAAAATAAAACCAAAAAGTGATTAAAACTACACAACAGCAAGCAGCGTAACACCAGAACGACATGGCATTGAATAAAATTGCCGTGGCATGACATAACATGGTATAAGATGACATACGAGTACAACAACACAACATAAGCGAACGTATATACAGTCACACAACACAACAATACCAACACCACGCAAACATGCAGACAGACACTCATTACGGCCTCAGCGTCGCTAAACCGTCAGGAGCGTCAAGCTCTGGCTTGGACCAGGGTTTTGCCGCGGCCTCTCGCCAGCCCCTATTTATTCACAGCTGCCGGGCCACTCTGCACTGGATGTCTTCGCCACTTTCTCGAGCCCATCTCTGTGTCGCCTCGTGATTGGGCTCCATTCTCGGGTTCAAGAGTCGGTGTGATTGTCGGATTTGGCTGGGGCAGGGATTTGGAGCTGATCTGGTAGCCTCGCCCCGAAGGACTGGCAGCTGAACAAATAAGACATGTCGAAAATTGAGTCGACCAAAGACTTTCGGCCTTGACCATGCTGAGGCCGAAGTCAATGACATTGGGTGGATGGTTTTCCTGCTGTAGACATGTGCATATCTTGGGCATGGGTCATGGGGACGATATGCATGTTCCGAACACTCGAAATGCATCTCGGGACCCAGATGTATGGAAGCCAGGACGGTACTCCACACACAAGGCTTGAGTGCCGCAGACCAACTGCTATTGACTGAGTTGTTGCCAACCCAAAGCCCATGGAAGAACGATGTCACGTGAAACTTCAAGCCGGCCATGCAGCCCTATCTATCGAAAGCTACAAGCGCACACCGGTTCGCACAACACACGCCACGCGGATATAAGTCTCGACTGCCATGCGAGATGATAAACATGGGTGCGAGCTGCCAGAATCAACCTGCAAGTGCAGCAACAGCTTGCAGCTGCTAACCCCACACAAGCTGCTGGTAGGGGAAAGTCAAAAACAGGACGTCAAAACTGCACGGAATCTTTGATCGTGTTCCACAACGATGTGGCAAGCCCCCCCAGAAAAAGCAAGCCTCAGTCAAAAAACCAGCGCGATCTTCAGCCCGCAAAAACTGCAAAAAGCGAACTTCCTGCTCGACCTAACTTGATCCAAACCCGGGGCATGCAAGTGATCTATCTGCAGCATTCTGTGGCACATATGCGGGCAGTTCGAACGAGTCTACCGTACAGCAGCATGAAAAACCATCCTTTCAGCGACTGCAATTTGGTCTCGGCGTGGTGCAACAAACACCCGGCTGAGAGCTGGGAGCTCCGTCGAGTTGTCAAGATGGCGAAACGAAGGTTTTTCGATCTTGAGCAAGGTGCAAGTCGTCTCAAAACGTCAGGCATCCTTTTGATGCACAGTTCCGAACAGCGTGAGTTCGAGGAATATGCCACTTAGAGCTTTGAGCGGGATGACTGCATGCAGTGTGACGCAATACCGCAAGGCACAACGTGCAACTTCTTTTGCACCTACTTTGACCCTGGCTTACCCTATATGCAATCCGCAACCGGGTCTCCTCCGTCAGTGGTGGTTCAGCCTGTCCTGCAGAAGGACTTGACGTGTCTCCCCCCAACCAAGAATTTAAACTCGCAAAAGAAACGATGTGCCTCCGATGTAAGCATCGCCCACCGTCTCTACCTTGGCGGGTTTCGGGCAATGGCCAAACACCAGACTCCAGTAGAACTGAACCCCGAGTAGTTCGAGTCCCCGCGGGTTCACCTGCCAGCCCCCAGCCTCAAGTCCTCAACCCCGCCCAGGTTCAGATCATGGGTTCATGCTCCAACAACTCGGAAAAGCGTGTCAGATCTGGCATCAAGCCTTGCAAGCCAGGAAGGCCTTGTAAATGCCCAAACGGTCGGCTTCGTCGTCGAAGAGGCCGAACCTCAGTGGACTTGAAGCTGCTTTGCCTGGATAAGTCATAGGTGCCAAGTCGAAAATCCCAAGAAAGACTTTGTTCAACCATTTCACCTGGACCTTGGGGCTGCCTGTTTGGCTTCACCCAAGCTGGCCCCGGGCGATAGCCACGTGCGATTTAAAACGAAAAAGTCGTGCTGCTGCTTTCGGTTCACACCCGACCATCCGACCCAAAGCCGATGACCTTCGGTGGACTGCTTGCAAGGCGCAGGTGCGAAACGGTCCGAACGACTTCCTGAAGAAGTGGGTGTCTTCGGCTTGTTTTGAGGCTTGATGGGCTGCTTGGCTTGGCAGGCTCGGGGCTTGAACTCAGGGAGAGGATGAGCGTGCTGCTCTGCCTTTTTGGGCGGTTGAAGCCGCCTGACATTCCGATGCGGACAGAGTTTCTGAAGCAGCGTTCCCTTTGAGGTACTTTCATCCGTTAAGAACCAGTGTGCCGCTCGTGCGCTACTCTGAAGATGGAAATAACACGAAATCAGAAACCAAACATCAAACTCTCTCAAACCCTGACATCCCGACCACCCACAAGTCGACAACTGATCTCCCGAGGATACTACAAAACACAAGCGCTGTCGGGAATCACAACCGTATCGGCAAAGTCGAACTTGGTTGTAAGCACATTCTTCCCTACTGTACCTTGCCCGGCTCAACCGACTATTCCCTTGCCTCGGGGGTCTTCGAGCCAGCAAGGCGTGTGAAGCCGGCTAGGTCTGACTGCACCACTGTGGCCCGAAAGTAATGGTGAGATGGCCTGAGTAGCCGGGGCCAACACTTGAGACTCTGCTGCGCCTGAGCTCCTACACCATGGAACAGGACCACGCTTCCTGAACCGTTCGTGGCCCGACGGGCTCGGGATTATGAGAGCTTCGGATGAGGAGCGCAGCGGCCTCGATGATACGAAATCTTGAGAGCGGCGTGTGTTTCGTTGGACAACATGTCTTGCATCCCGATCGCGAGGCGTCTGCAAATTGCCCCTGAGCCTACTAAGGTCCCTTCCCTGATGAACCAAAGAAGACCAGCAACAAGGCGTCGTCACGCGACAAGCGCTGCAGCTCATTGATGACCAGCTTGGGCATCATGGAATCTAGAATCCTGCTAGGGGCTTAAAGGGGAGGATGGGAAAGCAAGGTAAACGACATCTGACAATAACCTTCAGACGTACATTGTTTTAGGCTAGGGCCTTGTCGTTGGTGTCTTTCAGGCCTTGAGCGATTGAGCTTTAGGGAAGTGTTCCCTAACTGGCCCGAGCTGTTGGACATGCCACTGAACTCCGGAGCTTCGAAGCTCATCAGAATCTGAACATTGCAGTGACCGACAACGGTGTGAAACCCTGAGCAGCTGCTGCCAGCAGCCGAAGTCAGTTTGACGGAAAGCTCACTTCGAAGGGCGATTGCCCCCTGACTTGCCACGCAAGTTTAGGCATCAGGGGCATGACCCGGCAAAGCATTGGATACATTCGCCCATGGAGCGCGCAAACCCCTTTGGGGGTGAACAAGCCCCCCCCCCCCTTCTTTCGAAGGTGTGTCTCAACCGTTTTTGGCGGCCAGCGCTTGGGAATTCAAATAATTTTGGCAAGGTCCTAATGAGCAGCAAAGTCTCGGCTCCATCACCCTCGTCTCCCGCACTCTCTCCGTCGCATCCATGCCCAAACCACAATAACGTCCATGCGACCAGCCCATCCATTGGCCAGTGCATCAATACTCAAGCCATGATAACGCCCATGCTAACAGCCCATCCATTGGCCAGCGCATGCATGCCCAAACCATGATGACGTCCATGCTACCAGCCCATCCATTGACCAGCGCATCCATGCCCACACCATGATAACATCCATGCTACCAGCCCGTCCATGGGCCAGTGGAGCCATGCCCACACCATGATAACGTCCATGCTACCAGCCCGTCAATTGGCCAGTGCATCCATGCCCAAACCACGATGACGTCCATGCTACCAGCCCATCCATTGGCCAGGGCATGCATAACCATGCAAAAGCCATCAAAAGCCCAGCCAGCGGTATGAAAACAAGGTTCAGCCAAAAGAGCTGTTCAGTCAGACGGACTTTCTGCTAGCAGGTGAAAGAACACATTCGAATCTGCCCTTATTCCAACACGTCCTGCCATTGCAGTTCCCTCTTACCTTTCTCTTACTTTCAGCAAATCGCGTCCCGCAGAAACATAGAGTTTTTGCGTTTTTCGTTCCGCGTATCATCATAACGGAAATGCCATGTTCAAGCATGCGAATGTAAGAAAGTATCGGCCCTGCGATGCTTTTCCAACATGTCTTGTGTTGTGCCAAGGTGGCGGGGAATTGCACCTTGCAGAGTGCTGTTCTGCGGCATTTGAATCCGTGGCTGAAGCAATGCAAGGTCAAGTCGCGTAGACCGGAGGGGAAGACCATTCAGACTAAAGTATCAAACAGTGTAAAGCCAAGGCTTTGTTCCTGAACCCCAACCCGAGAAACCCAGCCCCAATGCTTCCCAAAACAATTGCCATCAACTTTCGACACGAAACCTCCGGAAGCATGATTCGGGGCACAGCACTACATCGTGGCTCAGAAAGGACCCCACAACTACACAAGCTCGGTCCCTTCGATGCGCGTCTTCGCCACATCGATGGCCTGTCTGGCTTTGAACTGGCTTCTGAGGCTGCGCTCGCCGATGAAGGCCTTCCTGGACGGATGTGCGCTTTCTGCTGCTGGTCGTTGAAACTGCTCAGCATTCGAACTTTGACTTCTATCATCAAAAGGTCTTCCAATAATCAGAAAAGAATCATGACGAAGATGAGGCTGTACCCCATGAAAGCAATTCCTTCTGACGGGTACCCGTTTTCATCTGAGCCAGGCGATACGAAGACAACGAGAATAACCAGAGAGAAGCCAGCGAGATAGATGAGCGCGACACTGGACCTGGAACATTCAGTGTTCAGGGGCCTATTCGTCAAAGCCCACTGCAGCTGTGGCTACCTTCTCTTCTGTCTATCTCAAAAGTCTTTGAGGAAAGCCAGGTGGCTGCAACTGGTAGGAGATCATGAAAGCAGAGTAAACCGGAAAGAACAAGAGCGCGACGACGTTGTCTGGCACTGCGTCGCTTCCGTTGTTGGCATAGCGGGGCAGGAGCATGTAGGACAGCATCCTGGTCCATCGAGGTGCTGCTTTCGACCCATGCTTGAGGGAGTGTTGGTTTGGACAAAAATCGTTCTCACAAAGAGAGCTCACGCTGTGAAGGTCGTCCGCTGACAAAGCGGGTCCATGTGTATTTCAAACCCATCAAACGGGAACTGTGATGCAGATCAACCGACTGATCTGCTGCCAAGGCAAGCCACACCAGCACGACGAAGACAAAGTGTCCGGATTGGGCTACTACCCGGCCAATGCGCATCGCTCTGTCCTGGGATGTATGCAACGACACCGATCAGCAGAGCTTGATGCCAGAGTACTCGGCATCGAACCGACTGGTGCGGAGCATTTCGGGCACTCGATGCTTTGGGCGAAGAGTCGTCTAGCAGGGACAGTCGGAGGACTTGAACCTCTGGTGCAGCTCAGTCTCGGTGTTGCGATTGCGCAGAAGCGCCGGGCAGATAGTTCCCATCACAACGGACCTCCGCGATTGGTTCCAGAACTACAGATTCAAACCCTGAGTTGAACATTGCAAAGGAACGGGTGCCATAGTCGCAACTAGTCAAAACCACCAGATTCCATGCAAGGTGCACCACGAGTGCGACAGCTCGGAGACAGAAGTAGACTTTCAACTCCAACCTTGCGGCAGGTCTTTCGGATGGACGTGTTCTTCCATGTGGAATGACCTTAAACCCCAGACCAAGGCCATAGCCAGTGTGTAGGAGCTTATCGGATTGACGAGAGGGGCACGGCGAGAATTGCAGCATGCAATGGGGGAACTCTCTTCTTAGGTCGTCCATAGCCATGGGCATAGCACAAGCAGCCTCTAGCAGTGTTCCCATGTTGGTCCCGTAGGCTTCACGAAACTAGACGTCTTACAACATGGTTAAGAATCTCGCTGATCAGAAATTTCCGGCATTGCGAACGCTGTTAAGGACAGAGGGTCACTCTCGCAAAGGACACCGCATCTTGTCTAAGCGGTCCAAAATAAAATCTGCACCTGTTTCCTGAATGGCAGAAGCGGAGCACTTGTTTACAACAGCCCGACAAAACTGAAACAGTAAACCATACCCGTGCAATGGGAAGCAGATGGCCAAGCAGCACGCCGTCCCAAAACTCTTCTACAGCTATCAGTGCCGAGTTCAGGAAGAGAATGTACCTTTCGCTTGGAAGGCTTGATGTCTTGTCGGGTTGGGTGCTGCGGTGGGGTCTGAAAAACCCTCGACCACAGACGGTTTCGGACTACTTTTGGGCTTGAGGCCCCCTGGCTACATCAGCTAGGCTGATGCTAGCTAAAGTATGCCGGAGACGAGGACTCGGGTTGTCGGGTTCAAGTTGCTGGGCATTGCCAAGAGGCGACGTTCGGCAAAAAGCTTTCTGGGATGTGTCGAGCTGTATATGTGGGAGGCTCAAGGCAAAGCTTTGGTGAATAAGGTCAGAAGTTTCCTGGCATGCCGTCTTCACTGACTGATTGGATAGCCTAACCAAGAAGACTCGGAAGCATGAATGCCTGGGGAAAGCTTCGAGTTTCGCCCCTCCCCAAGCCATGCCAAAGCTCCGACCTGCACCAGCAAGATCCCTCAAACTTCATACCGGACGCGCACGCGGCTTCCCCCAGGGTGGCACACGCGAGAAACCTCGCTGGCAAAATGTCAAGCAACAGTTGCCCGAATGCGCGAAACACGAATGGCAGCACCTGCGACCCCTGTGCCACAACTGCATCAGTAGGAATGCTGAGACCCGCTTGACAGAAAACTTCCTTTGGCATCGAACATTCCTGTGTTGAGGGAAGGAGCAAGGTCTGTCTCGACAGTCTCTTTGATCCAAAGTTCGCTCGCAGGACGTTGTTGTGGTACCTTGGTGTCAGCGGCTCTCAGGGGTCCTTTCAAGGCCTTTCGTCTGGGAAACTCAAGCGAAACTTCGGCCTGTGCCGCCCAAACCATGGACATTCATAAACACATCTTGCACCGGTCTTCCGACCCACGAGCAGCCAGCAATGCGCACGCAAAAATCCCATAAAACCCTCACCCCTCACTCGAGCTCTGCAAATTGCCGCAAAAAAGGAAAAGCTTGATCAGAAGGCAACTACCAGTCCTTCGAAAAGTGAGTGGGGGTGTCAGTCAGTCAGTCGGCCACACCGCCAGCCAGCAGGCAGGTCGGCAGTCACTCAGTCAATCCGTCAGTCGGCGGGCGAGCAAGTGTGTGCTTGCGGCTGCGGGCTCATGTATCGATGGAGGAGTAGTACTAGCCGGAAGCCCTACATCCGAAGCCCACATCCTCGAAATACTGAATGATCTTCCAGGCCGAATGTCCACTTCTGGAACTCCCGCTCGCGGTCCTTCGAGAAGTCCGCCCACGCAGGGCAGCATTGGGAGCAGTGGTACCATTTCCTGGCCGCTGTGCAACTGTCGAGCAAGTCAGTGACTCAACAAGAAGAGCTCGTCTGGTTCGGCGGTCATGCACCTGACCGGCTTGAGCTCTCTCTCTCTCTCTCTCATTTGTCGCTACCATTGCCCCAGAACCGAATCCTACTCGTCCCGAGATCCCGGTCTGAGAATGACTTCTTAAAAGCACATCGGCGAGGTCCTTACCGCGGTCTCCGATGCTTCCAGCTCTTTCAAGACGTCGTTGAAGATTTCCAAATGATCACTGTTCACCTGAGCCACGAGCCAACTGCCCACACCAGTCTCGCTCTCGGAGGCATGGAGCAAGACAGATGCAAAGATTCTGAACCTTCCCTGATCTGCAGCCAGTCGCAGGGCCCTCTGCGCAACGCTTACCCTCGAGGACGGCACTGTGCCAGGCCTGCATCGTCCAGTCATTTTCATGAATTCAAGGACTAGCTGTGGCTGTTTTCAAGCAAGCTGATGAAGGCAATACCGGCCGCTTGAAGCCTCGTGTAGATGGGCGGGGTGGGCTTAGCGTTCTCCAGATGCTTTAAGGAAGTTTTCAAGTGCTTAGCATGGCTGGCGGTTTTCATGGGGCTCCAGCGGTGCAGGACTGTGAGCTGCAAGGTGTTATCCACAACCCTCGTGGCCAGGCTGTTTACCGGAGGGCTGCTCGCTTCTCATGGCAAAGTCCAAGCTTTGGGGCATTCGAGTGTCTTCGGTGTCCGAAAGCCGCAGGCCAGACTGTTCTGTGCACCTTGTGGTAAATTTACTTGCTTCCAGCGCTGCTCAATCGCATAACCTGTTCCTCACCGAAACCTTGTCCAAACTGCTCTGCATGCCGGGATTCCCTGGGCGTGCGATTCCGTGCCAGAAGAACCTGGAGTCCAGACGAGTGCAGATATGAGGTGGTATGAGCGTGTCGTGAATGAAGAAAAAGGGATAAACAAGGCATTACCGACTGCGCAGTCAAGAAGCATTGGTCTTGATGTGTGTGTTGTTGCGGCTGTGCTTGACATGGTCGAGGAGGTAGGTCATCACTTGACCTTTGCCTCGGAAAAAGGTTGCATCGAACCCAAGGTCTCATCAGCTGGGGGAAAGGGTGGCTTTCGACTGGGAGAAGCTCTCGATACCTGTTGTTTCACGGGAGCTTGAAGCTGCTCTCGGAAGCCCTCCGCTACCGGCTAGACCAAGACCTCAACCTGAGGCTTCCTTTTGGCGCCCTGGCCCCCAGGCCCAAGCCTCAGGCTCCTTATGCCTGCGATGTCATAGCCACACCAGGTACAATCCCTGAGCCAAACCCGCCACCACACCCAACGCCAAAGGCTCAAGATGTCTCAAGCAAGTCGGGCCACCGGTTCCGAACCACGGACACCCTAAGATCCTTGCAAGTCTAGAAGGCCCCCACAGTCCACCAAAAACCAAGAACCAAAGCCTCAACCTCCGCAATAAAAGAACGATGGCAACAGAGATAATAGCAACCAAAGCAAGACGAACCTCTCGATTGGGCATGGCACCTTTCATCTCCACAGGACCTCTGGGGTGGTACTTGACCTTCTCCAAGCGGTCGCACTCAGTCTCTCTTTCGCTCCTACTTTATGCGGGCTTCAGAGCTTCGTGTACAGTTGTAGGCTCTTCAGCAGCACAGCCAAAGGGATCAGCATTCGCTGCCCCACCGCGCGGGAATCGCGCACTGGGGAACTACGTGCTGTGTAACGCAGTTTCATTTTTGACTTGAGGATGGAGTCAAAGGCCCTTGAAGACTACAGCTGACACTCCCCTATCGGCGGCACTCTTCACTCCTACGTGAGCTCGCCGCTGTTGGCGGCAAACTCCCCCGCATAGAGGACAAAAAGCCGCTTTCCCCCCAAAGTTCTTTACAATTTTGGCAGGTAGGAGCCAAACCGAGCAGTGCAATGGGGCCAGGGCTTCAACAGACACGCAAACAGCAAACAAAAAGCATCATGTACAACAAGCACGTACACGATTCCTACGACTCAGCATGCTCCATGATCCCCTTTCAGTACAAAGGTGAGGCTACGCACTATTAAAACGCCTCAGCATTTCTCTCGGCAGACGTCAAGCAAGGTTGTAGGAGACCGGGGCTGTCTCTCTCTCTCTCTCTCTTGCTTGCTTGCTTGGGGTCGCTCTCTCTCTCTCGCTCTCTCTCTCTCTCTCTCTCTCTCTCTCTCTCTCTCTGTGGGTGTGACCCCCATCCCACCGAACGCTCGCTCTCACTTTCTAGAGGGCCAACCCCAAAGGGCACCCCGTTCTTCCGGGATTTTGGGCCAAGTCGGCGGACTGCGGGTCGGAGCCCACAACAATTAGCAACACAGCTGAGGTACTGCCTTGTTCTAGCGAGGATCGCTCTGGCAGCCCGGGTGAACGAGCGCACCCAGCCCTCTTGCGATCTTCAGTATGGGCTGATGGAAGCCTGGGAGCACGACAGCACAACTGCTGGCCTGTCGCCAGTCAGTCATGCGAGTCATGCTCGCGTTTAAGTTCAGCACATGGGTTTCAGAGCATAGTACAAAGAGCGTAGTGGCTCGTGGGACAACAGCGGGAACTTCCAGTCCCACGTTTGCAATTGCCGGCTGGCCAGCACAAGTACCTTTTCTCCCCTGTCATCCGTCCGGCTCACTCCCTCCCTTCTCTCTGTCGCTGTCCGCAGACCTTCTCGTCTTCGGCCATCTTGGGGCTTGAGCTTCAAGCGCTTAATTCGAGCTATTCAATCCGCACACCAATGATTTGGAGTTGCTGCAGCACGATCCTCAATGGAGCTTGAACAAAAACGCTTCACCCATCATTGCACACTACACTATGGATAAAAAGAGTATGTATCCAGTTCAGGACTTGCACCGCTGGACTTCCTGAAATTGCGACCCAACAGCCGGTACAAACTAAGTCGGGACACCTTTCGCATCTAAACCTCCGAGACCTACATCCTAAATGACCTGAACCACAAATGCCAGATCCAGGGGCGCTGTCCGGAAGAATGGCCTTAGTCTGCTCGCCAAACCTTGGTTATGGGCGGCGGAACCAGCACGTAAGTGGGCGTGGAACTAGCCTGTCGAACCAGTCATTAGTCTATCCAAGACTGCATAACTGCATATAAACATTTGGAGCATATGTGTAGCATGCATGCACAACTCTTAAATCAAGGTGGGATGGGCTGCTTCTAGGGCTTTTGGAGTGAAGCGCACGCAGTGCACGGAAGGGCATGCAGCGAGCATCAGCGAGCATGCTGCCTGCGCAGTGCTCGCAGATTCAACTTTTCGCATCCCACTCCCCCAGATCGCTGGGGTGGCTCGTTCGACATTTAAAGACCGGCGTGAATAGAGACTTGCCTCCCGGCGCCTGCCGAGTCTCGGTGCAGAAAGCTGCCCTTCAGTGCATGTTCGTGATCGGTTGGAGCGGATTTCGGTCAGAGCCTCGTAGGGTGTGCATCCCTCCTTCTTGGCTTCTTTGCTGGTTCGATCGAAGGCTTCGAGAAGCGAAGCTGGCCAGGCACCTGAACAATCGACTCCAACAGCATAATAACACCCACTCGAAATGCCGAGAGCCTGAGACCCTGGAAAGCACCGAACTCGAAAGCTGAAGCTTGAGACGGAAGGCTGAACCTCGCCAGGCAATCCTTTCTGCATCATGCGTGCTGCTGAGTTGATCCTCAGCTGGTCCCTCGCACTCTCCCTCGCTCATCCTGTGTCTCTGTCTCGCTCTCCCTTGCTTTCGCAGTCTCTGAAAGCACAAGTCCGGACACACTTGTCAGCCGTCGGTTCTTACGTCATCAAAATGATATAGTCGTGCAATGATGAACATCATCTTCCAGTCTTTGGGCTGCCTTCACAGTGCCATGATGTTGACAAGCGCGTATGAACGATGATGATTTTGCTTGCTGGCGATCCTTTTACAGGATCCTCTGAGCCCGGGCAAGGCCACTTCATGCCGAAGTTCGTATCCCCGAAGAGACGGTAACGAGGCAGCTTGCTGCCGACCACGCCCGCCACGATGGGGCCTTCCAGAGCGGATCTGAGCGGGAAGTTCAGGGGGTTGAGGCAATTGCCTGCAATTGTCTCCAATAGTTTTTGAGCTTTGGTCAAACAACAGATGCCTGTGTGGATGCCCATCTTGAACGACATGCCGTCCGGAATCTCCATGAACCTGGCTTCTCTTCACGCGCTATAGCGGCTAGGCCTGCTGGACTGACACCTGCACTCTTAACATAGAACGGTCGAAATCTGGACAGAACGTTATACCCATCCTTGCAAAAGGCACTTTAACAGTCCGAGCAGCAAGATGTCCAGGGCCATGTCAATAAGCTTGTGCACATTCCTTGGCACAGGAGGTGGTAAGAGTCATTTATTGACATGGTCCCCTCACTGCAACAGTCGTGGCGGTTTGGCGAAAGGGCTTCGCAAATTTGCCATTTACGCAGTATGGATCTTGAACGCTTGCCCTGCTGAGCTTTGGGGTTTTGGGGCGGAGGGCAGCGCTACTAAAACACAAAAGTACTGTGGACAGTGCTACTTCACGAGACGGCCAGACGGCGAGGAAGTCAATGCTAAACACAAATGGTAACTACCATAACGACAACATTCAAAGCCAAGCTCGTGAGCCCAGACTATGTGCTGATTGATCACACCTGTTCGCGATGCCCATGCAAACACCGATCTTCCCCGTTGCACTTGCATTGCAGTCCCCAGGTTTGCTGACTCGCAGAAGGCCTGCTTGCATCTTCTGTGGAGCCCATAAGCTTCGATCCACGAGCCTAGAGGGCCTAGGGCATGCCAAACATTTTCCAGAGATAGCAGGATTGGCCCAATATCAAGTGGCTGCCTGTTCTTGGGCGTACAGCCGTGTTGCCCGTGATTTCGGCATGCTTTGAGCAAGTGATGCTGCCGTTGTCAAACACGCAATGACAGGCATTGTCATGCAATGTGCTATGCGTCCTTGACAACGTTCGTCTGTTGCAGACCGAATGGCTCGGTGCTACTTCGGCAAGAGTCCCGTGGCTCCACACCTGGACTCGCTCCGGATGGTTTGTGCGTAGGTGCTGCGGGCCCTGTAAGTGCAGCCGGTTTGTTCTAGCCTCTCGCCTCACTGTTTGTGCTGAAGGAGTGGATCTATCTGTCTGTCTTTCCTGAGTTCTTTCTTTAGCAAACTGCCGAAGGCATTGTGGGAGTAGTGCTCCAGCTGTGCAACGGGTGCACGCGACAAAAACCGTGGAAAAGCACAGGCGGCTTGGCTGCAAAGTTTGTGGTTGTTGAGGCCAATCCCCTCTTTCAACAGGAGTGTGGCGCCACCAAGAATCCTGTCCTCTCCGAATGACTACCCTTGGCCAGAGTGCAGACTTTGAATAACAAGCACTCAGCCCTGACCGGTCGAGACTGCGCAAGTTAGGGGCCGCAAAATCTTGAGGCGACGCCAGAATCGGAACCGACCCACATCCATCGGGAAGCTGACAAGCGCTTCAAACAAAGTTGTTGAACCCTGAACTTGAACCTGAAAACTGGCCAGGCCCGCCGACTGCGCAAACATACTCCTCGGCAACCGTTTCGATCTTGGTCACTCCACGCTTTGCGCAGAACCAATCGAAATGGTTGTAGTACCTGGGACGATTTTGGCTTACGTTTTGAATTCAGGTTGGAGCTTTCGACTTTTGGCTTGGCCAGGCTTCAAAGACCCGGCCGCCGCCGAGGCCTAACAGGGCCTAACATGCTATTTCGGAGGCTGCATCCGCGAAACCAAAGGACGGCCCAAAGCCTAAGCCTAAGGAAAGCACAAACCTATCTTCCCGAATCCTACATGATGCCAGTAGCAGCCGAAACATCCTCAGCCATCCCTACTGCGATGGCCATGGCCGCAGCTCAGGCACATGTTCAAGTAGTCCAGCAGCTCCGGTGGAGTGGTTCGCTGAACCTGCGAGGAGACGTCTTTGGCCAATGATGCAAGCGATTGGACTTTTCGCCTTGGCACGTCGTTGTGGGCACCGACGGTAAGACTCGGGCATTTGGTTGGTGGGCCAGTGGTTTACTCTGGTCGAGTTGAAGGCCGAGGCCTAATGAGCCTGACAGCCTTCCGGCATCTTCGAGGATGTCGGATATGCAAACCGTTTATGGCTCCCACATGGCAGACACTTGGCAGGTACCGAGGTATGTCGACTTTTGGTTAAATTCCCTTTCGGCCTGCTCAATCGGGCAAATCGTCCTTTAAAGCTGTGATCCTACACTGCATTCTCAGAGTTGTAACATTGCTGCACGCAGTGTGGCATGTAGTCGTGTTTCATGAGTGTGGCGTGGGTGTCGCATGAGGTCTTCACAGCAACACCATACAGTTTTGGATCTTCGATGTCGTAATCCGTTACAAGGGTCTCGGTTTGGTCTTGGGGGGTGTGACCTGATGTCAACAGGTACATAGAATGCGGCCTCATTGCACTCAACGGCCTGGTCCTGTGGCACTTTTTTTCCCCCACCCAACCCACAGACCAAGTCGCACTGCAGAGAATTCGTCCGAACCGAAAGAGGCAGTGCTGTCTTTCCAGGCCAACCAGGCTCGCGTCCGAGAAGCATACCCAAAAACGATCCCCATAACACAGAACATGCCAATCCAGGTGGCCACTGACTCGAAGTCGTGGAAGGCAATGAAAAGCACGCTGGCACCTCGCTGTCCGCTTCAAGGACTTTTCGCTTCGATCTAAAGCCCTGGACACAGAACAAATCTACTCATGCCTTCAGTACATGTTGTCGTGGGCCGTAAACGCCTCACCGTCCACTCCAGCAGTAAAGTTGGCCAACATGGTGCACCCCTTTAAAAATTAGGCCACGAGCTGCAAGCTGGCTAGCCTGTGCCACGCTCCAGCACCAACGACAACACCCGATCTTCTCCAGCACCCAGCACATGCTGCAGGACTTCCAGGTAGAGAAGGTGGTATCAAAATCAGACAAACAGAAGCTGCTTGCCTTCGTAGTGGTAAGAGTGGGTCTCACCTGTTGCCAAGGTGCCACATGACATGGACGGCCAGCTAGGCTGAATCAAAGTTTCGCGAAGCTACACAAAGCTTTGGATCCATGATAGCTGGCGGTGAACATGACGACCAATACAATACAGCTGGAGCTCAGTTTCAAGGCTCCGTGTCGGTTGCTCCCCTTCCCTCTCTGGGCTACGTCGACCCCCGGCCCCATGAGGCTCGGACTGGTTGGCAAGAGGTGATCGCTAACTTTGCTTGATCTTTGAGACTTAGATCAAATTCGGATAGGCTGTGCGTAGCTTCCACTGCAGGGACGTTGAAGTCAGATCCCGCCTGGATACTTCAGCATGGGGAGGATCACGAAGGATGGCACCATGAACTCTAAGATCTGAAACATGCTCCGGCTGACCTTTGGGACATGGAGGTTGACAGGTCGAGTGGTTGGGATTGGGGAAACTGTAGATCTGAACCCAGAAACCCTGCCAATGCCCATGTCGAAGGCTTGAAACTTTACTCCGCCATGTCAAGGCAGCACTGGAGCTCTGCAGAGCAAGAAGTTGCAAGCTGCTGTCAACTTGACGAAGCTTTCTGGACTCCGCTCAACACTTGAAGGCCCGGTGACATCCCGGGATTTCAGAACTGTCAGGAACAGCGAGCGCAGCTGCTCCTGTCATTGGCGTTACTGCTTCTTCTTGGATGGTCAGTATTTAAGTGCTGCGCATGACAAAACTTTCCCGAAAGACAGTCCCAATCATTCACAACTATGGCTTTAACTTGTACCTGTGTTTTGTGTTCCCAGGTGAGCCACTACTAAGGCCACTACTAGGGCGCGGAAGCCTGCTTTTCATGGCCCACATCTCCGATGATCCTTACAGCGGGTTCCAATCTCTCATTCTGTCAACACCACCTGGGAAAGCGTGACTACAGCGATTTCCATAGCCGTGTGCCTGAAAACAGTTAGGGTAGGGCACACCCGTTGGGTAAGATGGATACAATCCCATACCCCCCCCCCCGCCTACACTTTTACTCTCATTATCAATAAGCCTAAACAAATACGGCCCCATGCGCCTCCATCGTTCTCTTCTTACGGTTGGCGACCATCTGAACCTTGCTTAGTCCCGATCGTAGGAATCGTAGGATGGCAGTGGTTTGGCACTCTATAGGGCTTGTTGGTCTCAACCCTTGTCTCGCGTGCACTGCAGCCTCGACTCACGCATCAACACGCGGGAACTGCGGCTCAAGAGCATCCAGAGCTTTCCGGAAAGGGGCATGATTTCCGGAAAGGGGGCAGTGTGTTCCGCAATTGCATGGGAAACACGAGAGATGGCTTGCAGAGACCAAAACCAAAGAACGACTCATGAAGGTGCGACCTGCTGTATCTGCCGCAGCGGCACGTCATAAAATCACGCAAGCTTCCTCTAGCTCGAGAGACATATCTACAGAACTTCATATGCGCAATTTGCGGGCTTCCGAGGTCACACGCATCTTCGACATGCACCCCGGCCCAAACGGAAACAATGAAACACACTGGAGGCATGCCCGTGATCATTCAGGCTCACGCGGCCGTCGCGTCTGCTTTCCCAACGTCGAGCGACAGGATCACGAGATAACAATCGGATCCCTTATGCACACGTAAACCCTGAGCCTGCAATCTGGGCTCTAAAACAAATTTGCGACCACGTCCGGTAAAGGACCAAAAGCACAAAGCCATCACCCTGCAACATCAGCCCCTATGCCCCAAGATCTGTACCACAAACCCTGGCGCACCTCGTCCAACTCAACTGCATTAGGCCACTGGGGCATGGTCCCAACCGAAGAAACGCAGCACTCGAAAGTCCGCTCCCATCGAAAAGCCAAGTTGCTAGCGCCAAGAGCACGAAGCGGACGAAGAACTCGTTCTTCGCCTTTTGTCAGGTCTTGGGAAAGGCAAAGTGTTCCGTGTGGAGCAGCAGTTTGTTGTTTGCAACATTAGGGCCTTTAGGGCATCGAGGCTGCGGCATCGAATGTCTGACGGACAATCGATTCACCGTCATTCATAGTCCGGAATCAAATGGCATCAAATCCTGTAAGTTGACTTGAGGGACGTGACAGTCGATGCTTTTTTGAGGCTGCCCCTGTCTGCTGGGGGGCGATGTTGTGTGGGTTGAGGAGCGGGGTTCTGGGTCCGGACTTCAGAGTGTTTTTTTGCCCGGGTGCGCTGGACAGGTAGTTGTCATCTTCGGCCACGAAGATCCTCAGCCAAGCAGGATCTTCAGGAGGCTTCAACTCTGGACGACACGGACCTAAACCAGTAATGTTGCAGGCTCAGTGCGTGGATCTTGTTTCGACCGGAGCGATCAAGAAGCCGCTCCGCTTTTCAGCACTTCGGAAGGTATTCGCACACGCTGCAAGGGACTACAGCATTCCCGGCATAAGCTAATGGTTTGCCTCCTCACTCAACATGCTCTTGAGTCTGGACTCGACTACGTTGCATTTTTTCACTTGCGGCGACACTTCCCAATGCACATGGGAGTCGCAAGCCCCACCCCTCCCACGCCCGAATACGTGGCATAAAGCGATAAAGCGATCCAACTCCGAAAAGTCTCTCGGCCTCCGTCTCTGCCCCTATCCCTGGAAGCTGGAATCCTTTGGGAGCTGTTTCGGGCTCGCCCATCAATCGTTTACCTTTACAAAGCTGCAGTCAAGCGGTCACGATGGCGCCAAAACCCTGAAGCTTAGACCCCACGCTGTTCAGATGCATTTCAGGCCAAGCCAAGCCAGAGGGCGCAGCGACCAGAGCTGCAAGAAAGACCCAGCCCCACATGTAGACGCAGTAGCCTTGCATGCTTTTGGGTGGATCCAACTATCCAACAAGCTTGTGAATGGCGGGCTCTACGCACACCAGCCAGCAGGACCAGTCCTAATTCCAAGGTTCCTCCCGATGCCGAACAACGATGGCTTACATCAGACTTGCAGGTGCGAGACGATACTCCGGAAGGATCAATACCTGGCGGCAGCAAGTGCAGCTCCCTCAGCTTCGTGGAAGTTGACAAAATTGTTGGACAGGGCTACTTGTTTGTCGCAGAGCCATTTAGAAATGCAAAACCACGTGTCACGCACAAACCTCACATGTCCAACCGCCGAGCAAACTGCAGCAAACCGCCGGTGGTGACCCCAATCCAAGCCCTGAAAAACCAATCCAAAGCCTGGGCCATCACGCTGAACATCTGTCTTTGGAACCGGTAATATTCCAGGAGCTCGCAGGTGTGCTCTCCTTGCGCTGGGGCTTGTCGTCACGGTTGAAAAATGTTGAAAAACACATCTTCCTGCATAGCGAACCTGGTCAGACAACTAACAAAGCAGGCCTGCACGGCGAAACGGCGCCGTTCTACCATCTTAAGCAGCAGCTCTTTCTGCCTACAGACGACGACGATGACGACGACGATGAGGACGACGACCACGACTATGGTGGCGCAAGCAGCAGGACGACTAGTCGGACCCTGTAGGGCCCGGTGTAGGGCAACTGGAGCCATGCATCGAAACAATGGACTAGCCTCATTTCGCAGCCGAGAATCGGGGGGCATAGCAATGCAAGGCGTACCTCAAGGGCCAGAACTTCTTGATTTCGTGCTCTATGCAGATTCGACAGCGCAACCACTGAAGATGCAACCTTGGCCCGACAGCCCGAACCAGAGTCCGCTTTGCCGGCCTTCGGTCGGTGCATGCTATGTGCAGCAACGGAAAACTCGCGACCAGGCGGTCGGTGTAAGCCAGGATCCTTAGCTCCCACGCTTGCAGCACTCACAACTAGGACAAACCTGGCAAGGAGAATCTGAGGTAGTTCAGGGCTTATGAAAACAAAAATGCTATGAAGCAGCCACGGCTCACAAGGGCTAAGTGGAGCTTCATGTTCCGCCACCAGAGATTCAGAATAGGCAGCGGGACAAGAAGGCAAATGCAAATGATGTTGTAGGCGAGCGTAGCCCGAAGCCTTACTCCGCACAACTATCCTTCACAGCTGTCATCGTCTTGCCGGATTTCCATCGTTATCATGCCTCGCTAAACTGCTTCGGTTCAGGCAGTTTGTGCCAGCATTCATAACACAGTATCCACCCAGGTCGCGAGTCTATCCCCTTATTGATGCCAGGCAACGAAACGACAAAACCAGTTCCTGTGTACAACCACCAGGCGACTGATTATAATGATGCCAGACTTCAAAATGTCAACCAATGCGTCAAAAAAGTTGCTTCAAGCAAGACAATCGGGGCAACAAATGATGAATGGCCGTGTTCACTCGCTTGATTGTGCCAACAGAAAAGCTTTACGATTAGCCCACCAGAATTATCGTCATTGTCATAACAGAACCAGGAGCCACCAATACTCGCTCATCGCCTTGTACCCGCACGGGTTAATGGCGATCTCGGTGAGCCGGCATTCATGATTGAGGCAGGTATGGAACCGATGCATCTTCGCACGCTCCGATATCACGGAAGGAACAGTGTCTAAGTTGTCTTGTGAATCCGCAGGGGTACACCATCGAGAGCGTCAGTAGAAAAACCCTGCGTAGGTGGCCCTGTGTGCGAAGCCCAGCAGAGTAGTGCGCGCGAACTGTGGAGCTTGGACGCTTGAGGGTTCGGAGCTTGAGTGTTCCGGTCCAGTTTTATGGCCTCTTCAGTGCACAAGCCTGTTTCTACGTCCACGACCATTAGTCGGTACGAAATTTGACAAGCACTTGTCCGAAACGGCATTCGGATTTTTCCAAACAGTGTGGTACACAGTACGAAGCTCTAACAGTAAGAACAATGAAAGAAGACTCGGGCTGGTGCTTTTGCAGGTGCTGCTGGTGATGCTGGTGCTGCTGCTGGTGCTGCTGCTGGTGGTGCTGCTGCTGGTGCTGCTGGTGCTGCTGCTGGTGCTGCTGGTGCTGCTGGTGCTGCTGGTGCTGCTGGTGCTGGTGCTGGTGCTGGGTCTGGTGCTATGTCTCGTGCTGTGGTGCTGGTGGTGCTGGTGCTGCTGGTGCTACTGGTG